GAAAATGAATTTATACTCTTATATTGTGTAAGAGGTATGTTAACAATTTTCGATCACTGTGCTCTTGTAGGTCAACATTTTTAGGCTGAAAATATATACTAAAGTCATAAAATTGAAGTTAGGCTACTCTAGCTCTGAAATAGGTCTATAGACCACGAAATAAACACTATCGCGAAAGCCTAACCTTTTTGCTTGAAACAGGAAGCTTCACGTTTGTCAACCTTATCGCTTAGATAGGGCCTCCTGCGCTGTCATTTTGCGATACATCACAGTTTTTACACTAAACCCCCATTGTAGCTTACGCGAGTAGTATACATTTAAATAAAACACTTTTAACGGTTTAAAACTAAGGGTGATAAAGCTTTCTAAAAATGAACTTGTCTACAAGTAGTGTTATGAGTTTTACATACACCCAGCAGCACATATTTAAATAAAACACTGTTAACGGTTTAAAACGCGAAATTAATTGGTTGACTTATTATACTTATTTGAATTGGCCCAACGTTTCGGATGCTTTGCGGCAGCCGTGGTCACGGGCCGAAGTTAAAAATCATTTTCAAATAAGTTTAACGAATATATCGCGTTTTAAACCGTTAAATTGTTTTATTTAAACAGCGCGTCTTGTTTAGATAGGCTGGGGTATATCACCTACCATCATTAAAAAAAACTCTATCACTTAAAACTCGGTTATAAGTTAACCGCTACAGTTAAGCCACTTTATCCCACCTTACTGATTACAGCAACTTCATGATTAATTTTCTTTCTCACAGATTTAAGCTGAGGATAAAGATTATACGAGAAGTTATAAATAGCTTCGTTCTTGGCTCTAACATAAAAACTTTGTTTAAAAACTGCTTAGTTGTTTAAACTATTATTAATTATTATACGCGAGTAGTACATATTAAAATAGAACGCTAAAACCCCGAAATGTTATTTAATAGCTTCAGTGGTTTACGCAAATAGGATATATTTAAGTAAAACGCTATAACGGTTTAAAACGCGAAACATATCAGTTAACGTATTCTTACTACGACTAGTACATATTTAACAGATAATTTAACGGTTTTATGTAGAAAAAACTATTTCTTCTTCTTTAAAAAAACACTTTAACGTTTTTAAAACGCGATATATTAGTTAAACTTATTTGAAAATGGTCTCCCCGTGACCACGGCTGCTGCAAAGCATCCGAAACGTCGGGCCGAAGTTAAAAATCATTTTCAAATAAGTTTAACTAATATATCGCGTTTTAAACCGTTAAAGTGTTTTATTCAAATGTGTACTACTCGCGTAAACTATAGACAGTATTTTATTTCTTCTTCTGTCATCAAAAGCGTTATTTTGAATTGAAATTGTAGAATCCGAATATCCGAATCCAATATAAGGTCGACAGCATATAGTGTAGATAGACACGGCTGGAGTATTCCACCTACTATCAAGAAAGCCCTATAGTTGTCTGTCCAATCCTGTTTCGGCTTGTTTGTGGATTTCCGAATATCCAAAAACTAAAATATGTCGACAGCGACCAGAAATTTGGATATTGTTGCTTATAGTAAATAAATGCACTTCTCAAATACTATATACTGTAGTTTACGCCAGTTACACACATTTAAATAAAACACTTTAACGGTTTAAAACGCGATATATATTAAACTTATTTGGTACACCGACATGTCTGGCCGTAGTTCAATTTCCAAATGCGTTTAACTAATATATCGCGTTTTAAACCGTTAAAGTGTTTTATTAAATTGTCCTTCTAACATCAAAAGCGTCATTGTGTATTGAAATAGTAAAACGCTATTCGCTCTTAATGAGAACCGACCCTTAACAATTATTGCTAGCAGAATGTACACTCCCCGAGGGCGAAAATTCTAATGACTGAATGAATTCCCCTATTCCGTGTAATGTTTTTGAAATGCCTTTAACGGTTTCATTAATCAACGATGCTGTGTTAATTAGACGTACTGTAAATATTGGAAATAATTAACACTATATAAAGCTGAAGAGTTTGTTTGTGTGAACGCGCTAATCTCAGGAACTACTGGTTCGAATTGAAAAATTGTTTTCGTGTTGGTTAGAGCATCTCGAGGAAGACTTTAGGGACACATCACGCTGCGACTTATAGGAGCAAAGTAGCAGTGGAAAATGTGGGAAAACGGGAAAAATGATAAGTTTTGTGAGCTTCGGCTACGTGCGTTGCAATAACGGTTCAAGAAACCTAAAAATAAGGGTGAATGATTCATAATATAAAATCGAAAATGAATTAAAAAATATTTCGACTCGGGTAGGACTTGAACCGTCATCGTCAGCGTTCCGTGCTGTTGTTCTACCAATTGAGCTCCCGAGTTCTTCGTAGTAGGATGTCAAGTGGTTTTGATAACAGATCTTATGCTAATTAAATTGATATATATGAACTGTCTTTTATCTATATAACTTGTAAAGTTAAATAATTAAACTAAACACTTTAAACGGTTTAAAACGCGAAGAGTACTACTTCATTTATTTCAACTACGGCCCGATGTTGATAGTGCTAATGGAGCGTATGTATGTGACTTTGACACGCCTTACTTAAAAAAAATTAAAAATTCGTTATTTTATATTATTTCGCGTTTTAAACCGTTAAATGTGCAATTTAACTATACAGTTAATAAAACGATTGGTTCGTGGTGTTAATGAAATTTATAATACCTACTACCATTTATTTAATAACCTGATGTTCCACCCTAAGTCGAAGATGTTTAAAAAATATATTATACTAGCTGTGTCAGCTACTTCGTCCGTGTAGAATAGTTATTTTGGACATCTAAATTTGTTTTTGCCAACCTCGACATCTTTATAAATTTAAGCTGCCCACGACATCGGTCGCGTCCCGTCGTTTGCAAGAGCAAGTGTTATAAGATAGACACAGTGTCGCGGACATTTTTTTAGATTATTTAAAGAGGAATCATTCTTTCTTACATATTTTTTTAGTGTATTGAACCGTTTTCGCAGCGTACGCATCTGAAACCGACAGAGAAGAAAAAATCCCATGTTTACATTTCCTGCTGTATCTTCGCTTCTATTAGTCACAGCGCGATGTTTTATAGCCTATAGCCTTTCTCGATAAATGCTCTAACCAACATTAATAAGTTTTTTTTTAATTCAAACCCGTAGCTTCGAGATTAGCGCGTTCAAACAAACAAACAACCTCTTCAGCCTTATATATTAGTATAGATAGATATAATATTTGTATATAACAGAACCTTTTGCAAATATATAATATATTTTTTTATTTTAAATTATGCATGATCCGCGAAATTTCTCTCGTTAAATGAAAGGACCAAGCACAATAAAAGTATAATTTATTCCTTATTATTACAGAGATAAGTCGAGCCGATATTATTGTGCCCTCGGGCCGAATTTTACGTCCGCAAGGCCCGACGAGAGCGCTCATAATGCGCTCGTAAAAATATTTTTTACGGGGAATTACAGAAAAATTGTCGCGTATCGGCTCCCGGGCTATGTGCGTTTATTACTGTATGTAAATGAATTGTGTTCAAGCGGGTCTTACAAGCGATAAACTTGTGGTTATATTTGATGTTTACTTTATGGAAGGGGACATGGAAGAAGAAGAACATTACTACTGTACTACCATAAGCCACAAAATATCAGATAAAACTTATTACTAAATATAAAAAATACCATTTAAATAAAACACTTTTAACTTCAAGTTTAAAACGTGAAATGTATTACTTAACATATTTCTCAACTACGCTCCGTCTTCATAGACGCTGTGTAGCAGCTGTGGACACGGGGGGATCAAACAAATTAACAAAACCAAATATACTTTATTGTCACCACAAGAATTTTACAAACATAAGATTTAATTTGAAGAAATTACATACATATGTAGCGAGAAACGCCATTATCCTTATCGGCAAAAAGCGATTCCTTCCAAACAACCTTGAAGATATTAGGGATTACCCATTCTCCATCTACATGATTCTGTTAGGCTGAAGCCACTAGCATAAGCAAAGACGCGAACGCACACAACACCGTCTCGGTCGCAACATCGAGATTCAAATTGCCCCGTTAAATTTATAAACACAGCGGGACCAAGTGACCCCAGATTTATTGCCCCTGCGTAATCCGGGGCATGGCTAAGTAGCTGGAATTCGTTAGCGACGAGGCAACGCCTGCTCGCTAGTCTGCGGGCGCCCGGGGATTTCTTGTATCCCGGTATTCGTGCTGTAATAAATTGTCAGTGCGTGTTGAAATGTTGTGTTGTGATTGTATATCGTGGTTTCATTTCTTATATATTCTAAATATGCCCTCACCTAATTTTAGGTTGAAAAAATTCTACAACACGGGCAGGACGTGAACCAGCACTCACAGCTTTCCGTGCTGTTGCCCCAACCAAATGAATTACCATGTTTTTTAATACCCATAAGTACTTCTCTGTGAGAGGTTATTATGCCAAATATGTTTTCGAGCTGGTCGACCCTTATAATTCAGATTATGTCGGTTTTTCTATCTTCTATCATATATTAGCATGAGATTCACGTGATGAAAGGTGAAGTATCCCAGCCATAGAACATCTATTCGAGGTGCGCTGTCGGCCTATATTGGTATTGAATATTCGGAAATCTTTATACTAAAACCAAAACGCGATCATCACGCCTCACCAGTATGCAGGCGGTGGTTCGTGATCCAGAAGGAATATTGATATCCCCCCCCCCCCCTTAATATCCAGTAATATTTTACTACTTAAATATGATATGCATATAAAGTCACTAGCTACGCTCGCGACTTCGCCTGCGTGGAACAGTTGTTTGGAACATCAACATTTATGTTTGTAAACAATTTTTTCACCTTTATATCAGTGTAAATGTAAGTCTATTTCTGACGAATTAAACTGTTCTCTGTATTCAATCCTGGTCACACTTGAAAGAGTTAATGAATAATGGAGTCATATTGTTTGTGTGTAGCTCAACAAATTCTGATAAAACTCTGCATTGTTACAGGAAATTGCGGCTATCCTCATCAGCTTTGACAAGCACACGGAATGGCAGTCGAAGGAAGTGAAAATACGGTAAGATTTTGTGTCTTATTTATTTGAAGCTATCTACTTAAGGTTAGTCTAATGGCAACGACTAACTAATAAAAGCATTAACTATATACATATATTTATTTATTAACTTTATTAATTACAAACACCACAGAAATGCTTTACAACAATAAATTCTTATGTACTAGATTATAACTAAAAGGCGGCCTTATCGCTAAACAGCGATCTCTTCCAGGCAACCTAAAGTGGATGGAAAAACAAAAAATAAAATACAAGGACGTAGGTGGTGCTAGAAAGGATCTTGAAAAAGAAAGGCAATTAACAGCTGGAAAGATAAAATTTGGTAACTGAGACTTTAAAAGTACGGAGAGATTGAGCTTTTCTGATGTCTAAGCGAAGAGTGTTCCAGAGATTAATGGCTTTAATAGTGAAGGAGTTGTTAAAGAAGGAAGTCATGCGCAGGAACAAATAATAAAATATTATGAATCGAGATATATACATACAGTTAGATAAAAACAAAATACACATTAAAAACAAACAAGATAACAAATTTGATCCTAATTAATTCTTAATACACTTTATGGGACAAATGTATGCATTAGAATATTGAAACACGTGTCACATTTAAATAAAACACTTTAACGGTTTAAAACGCGATATATTAGTTAAACTTATTTGGAAATGATTTTTAACTTCGGTCTCCCCGTGACCACTGCTGCTGCAAACCATCCGAAACGTCGGGCCGAAGTTAAAAATCATTTCCAAATAAGTTTAACTAATATATCGCGTTTTAAACCGTTAAAGTGTTTTATTTAAATGTGTACTACTCGCGTAAACTATAGACAGTATTTCACGTGTCACTTGTAACTATTTATTAGAGTAAAGATGTCCTTATAATAATGTTTTATATTTTTTAAACACGGTATTGTTATATAGCTCTGCCCGCGACATCGTCTGCATGGTATAGTTATTTTTGGCATCATATTGGCAGCAAACGACATTTAAGCTTTAAAAAAATATAGTTGATTCACGACGTCTGCGTCCCGTCGTTCTTGCAAGTTAATCCTTAACGATAGACATGCTGTCGCGGGCATTTTTTAAATAAAGAGTTATTCTTCATATAATTTTTTTTCATAAATCTACCTCGATATTCAATGTCTATCAATAATATTTGGTTTTTAAATTCAAAAAAGTAGCTCCTCTTATTATTACGAATAATGCGAGGAGTACACATTTAAATAAAACACTTTAACGGTTTAAAACGCGATATATTAGTTAAACTTATTTGGAAATGATTGAAAAAAAAACTGTTCATATCGTGATATGAACAGTTTTATTTAAATGATAGTAACTAATATAATAATACTATAGTTTTAAACCGTTAAATTAAACTCTGTAGGTTTATTTATAAGTAGACGAATAGATATATAGTCAAACAGACCTAAAACCTCACTAGTGAATTTAAAACTCTCTTTAATGTCACACTGCAGACTCAAAGCGAAGCAAGAGAAATTGGTTCGGACGAGAAATATCTCTGAGAAATTTCGAGTCTAATCTAAATAGATTTAAACCCGCGCCATCCTTTGAATATATACTCCTAAATTCGACCGAATACAGGTAAGAGACAGCCGATTGTGAATTTTAATGTCCGCCAAAGGAACTTGTTAAATCAGTGCATTTTTACTCTGTGGAACGTGAATTAAAACTATCAGTGTCTGCTAGTCTGTGACTGTAATTTGGCGCCCAACTAGGGACCCGTTCCAAGTTGTAACAACTTAAAGCAAATTAAAAGTTGAGCCGTGACTACTGCTCTCCCAGTGTTCACCGTTGAAATATTAAGTCTTTATGAGGACGTAGTGTACTTTTGGAATTTCGATGCGCCCGCAGATTCGGGTCGTTAGTTTAAAATTTAATACAGAGATGGTCTTGTCGGTTTTTCCGCGGCTTGGAGAGAAGGACTTCCGTTATTCTTCTGTCAATTTAAATGTTTGTATTATTAGTAGCTTACTAGAGAAATACACATTCAAATTAAGCACTGGTAACGGTTTATAACGCGAAATATTTTACTAAAACTTATTTTTTATTTGTAAAATTACGACCCAACGTTTTCACCCGTAACCATGTCTGCTGCAAAGCTTCCGAAATATCTGGTTATAGTTAAAATAAGTTAACGAAATTTTTTATTTATTAATCTACGACCCAACAGTTCCACCCGATACCACGACTGCTACAAAGTATTTGAAACGTTGCGTCATAGACAAAATAAAATTAATAGGTTAAGTAATATTTTTCGTGCTTAAAACCGTTTTAAGTATTTTATTCAAATTTGTTTATGTTGATAGACCTTTGTATTAATTTGACCTCAATAAATAGTTCAAACTCCCTTTCAAGGGCTCAAAGCGAGTTACAAACTTATAACGCGTTTTCCAAACTGTGTTTCGTTTCGTTTTTGCTAACAATAATTCGTCTTAGATTTATGGTTATTATTCCAGCGGTCCAATAAAATTATTTAATGTCCGCAAACTTCAAAAAACGGCCAAGTGCGAGTTGATTCTTAAGCACGAAGGGTTCCGTACCAATGTTATTGACCTGGCTGGATATTGAGTTTTTTCATTTTAATTTAATCTATTTTTAATTTAAAACAAATATATGACCAGTTTTAACGGCTAATTTACCTTCTATGATAGAAATTGGTATGTAAAGTGTGTTGGTTTAACTAGAATTTAAATAAAAGACATTTAACTGCTTAAAACCCGACATTTATTATTTAGCTTATTAACAATTTAATCCGACGTTTTAGATATTTCGCAACAACCGTTATCACGGGAGGATTAAAGATAGAGCGTGTTCTTTATGTTAAAGTAAAAACTGCTACGCTAACGCCATCTGTTCCGTCGTAGTTGGTATTTCGTAATAATATAGGCTCGCTTAAACTACAGACATAAGTAGTGTTAATTTGTGATAGAGAGTGGAACAAATATCCAATACAACGGTCCCGTTTCGGTTACGGAACCCTCATAAATATTTATAACTCAAATAAGTGTAGCAAAAAGTATCGGAGTAAAAACTCATTCATTCCCAACGATTAAGTGTTAGATTCCGTTAATACAAACTGTTTATCAGCCCTGCTTTCGAGAACAAATATCATCGATTCAGTATTTCATAATAATTTCGTTTTTAGGGTTCCGCATCTATATTGTATGTTAGACGGACAAGCATGGTTTTCACTTGATGGTCATATACGTCTAAAAATGTGTTGTCGACCTAGTTACGGTTTGGAAATGCGAACATTAACGGTTTTTTAATCGAGTAACGGTGGCTCGTAAAGTACGGACAACGACGACGTGTTTGTTTGTTTGAATCTCTGGAACTACTGTTCGAATTGAAAAAGTCTTTTTGCGTTGGTTAGAACATTTATTTAGGAAGGTAATAGCTATAGAATCGCGCTGCGGCGAATAGGAGCGAAGGGAAATGTTACGAAAACAGGAAAATTATCATTTAAAATCGAAAATAAATTGAAAAAATGTTCGACTCGGGCAGGACTTGAACCGGCATCGTCAGCTTTTCGTGCTGTTGCTCTACCAATTGAGCTACCGAGTCCTACACCTCATCGTCGAATTTTTTCAACTTCAAAGAATAATTTATCTGCCCTTAAAAATGTCAGCGACAGTATATATGCCTAATAAATTGTATAAGGCTTTCACGGCCATTGTTCAGACGAATTATGATTCCTCTCTCCTTTTGAATTCTTCGAGCAATCGAAGAGTTAACATCTCCTGAGTCGAGAACCTCTTCTCGCTCACCTCGGCCGAACAGCCTGAAAGACAATGATATGCAGTATATGCCTACTCTTAAAGATTAGCTTGCGAGAACGACGGTACGCGGCAGCTTAAATTTATAGAGTTGAACGGAAGGTTTACAAAAACAAACCTATCTAAATTTTTTTAGAAATTATTGCAATACAAGTAGCAGATCAAAGAGTTAGTCGATACAACGCATTGCTAATTCAGTTACGTGTCGCGCGTTCCACCAAATTTCCAACTACCCTCAATCTTGTCAACGTAACACGGAACCGTTGTTCGAAAGAGCACCATACATCAGTTGTAATGCGGGAGTTTCATCTTCATCAGTGTAATCGTCGCTATAAATACGGCGCGAGATTGGCCGTGATCCCGCTGATTTAGGAATTAGTTCGCTTTGAACATCGCCATCCGTACGTGGATGTATTTTAGGCTGCGGTCGCCTATAAACGCTGTACGCGCTGTTAGATCTGCTTTATTGTTTGACAAAAGGTGAGAAACAAGAATGGCTTCATTAGATAGATTGGATAACTGCAATGATTAAAACAGTTTAAAACGCGAAATCTAATAGGTACACTTGTTTACATTTTATTTTTACTACGTCTCGTTATATCGTACAAAAAGTAACAGCCGTGGTCACCGAGGAATTTCACTAACTTGAAACAATATATTACGCGTTTTAAACCGTTAAAATTGTTTTATTTAAATGTGTACTATTTTCGTAAACTACAGAAAATTCTTTATTGTCTTATCAGTAGCGCTGTTTTAATTATTAGATCAGTCAACTTAAAAGTGAGTTTACTACTAAAACAATTTTAACGGTTTGTAACTCAATTTTTTCAAACTTATTTGCCAATTATTGCAGTTCTCATACAGAGCATCGGAAACATCAGGCCGTAGTTACAATTATTCATTAGTAAGTTTAACTTATACGTTTAGGAAATGTAGACAAACACTCATGCGTTTATAATGATCAATTTTAAATTCTTAATTTAAGAATTTATTTTTAGATACAGTAGAACGAATAAAAACTTGTAAGACACGTGTCACCAAATTTTTTTATCGTGAAACTTCCTTCTCTCTCTCTTCTTTACGCTTTGGATTCTGCAGTTCAGCAAATGTCAACTTAACTGAATTTGAATCTATCATGCTCTACGACGTCTTAACTCGAAATATTTTTTTTAAATGTTAATTGTTGTCTGGAATCAAACTTGTATCACAAGT